TTCCTTGTTCTTTACACAATGGGCTATAAATTTAGTCCACAAACATAACATTTACGTCTGAGTTTAAAAGGTGTTGACTGTAAAACCGATATTAAACTAACTTGAAAAACCAGAAATATATATTAGACTTCAAATTTGTAAACAATAGAGTATATTATTGTTATTATTCGAATATTAATAAGAAAAATAGATCAAGTTATTTGACAGCTTAAAGAAAAATAAAATAACTCCTTTTTGATTTAGTTTCATTTATACTATTTCATTAATTTATATTAAATTTAATGCTATAAAAGTAAGGTTAAGATCAGTTATTGTTAAAGAAGTCACGCCAAGAAATTTATGCTTGAAAAGTTGTGGTAAAGACATATTATGTTATGTTAACAAAATAGCTTGCATAATAACAGTATTAAAAGTTTCAAGTAATTGTAATAAGCGAAACAGTTTTAGAATAAATTCGCCAAATCCATGATGCATAAACTTCTCCTCCTCCCCAGTTCCTTGCCCTTTACCGTTAATAGGACCTAGCCCACCGTCACGCAACATGTTGCGCAACTGCTGCACAACCACTGCACAACAACTATGGTCCCGAGAGTATACTCCTAGTTCAGACTTCCTACAAGTTTGTGCAAACCCCACTCCATTTATTTATAAATAATCTGCTCCAGAAATCATTCCTACCATAATTTTTAAAAATTTTTTCTCTGATAAACTTAATTTGCTAGATACGGAACGCATTTGCTCTCCTTTTTGTTCATTACCATATTCCAGGAATGGGACTCCAACCGCTAAATGTGGTTGTGACCTCTATATAACCATTCCTAAGAGGTTTTAATGTATTCACATTGTGGCTTTCAATGCTTTACAGTCACCGACAAATAAAAAAAAATTAAAATGATCAGTTGAAATTGAACTTCTATATTTGATATTTGAAATTTGAAATATATTTCTATATTTGAAATTCTATATTTGAACTAACACCAATATTTTGCTTTAAAGCGAATATTTCTGAATGCTTAAGAATATCTCATCCTTTAGCAAGAGAACTTTTTTATATTCCGCTTACAAGCGGAAATTAAAGTATATTCAAAATAAGAAGATGTAATAGTAGTATTGTTTTAATTTTCAATATTTGATATAAGAATTTTTCAAATTTTTCAATTCGTTAATTCGCTAAGTGTTTGGTACAATCTCTCATAATTGGTCTCTGCTTGATGATTAATTAGTTTCTGAAAGAGTGGCATAGCTAGGATTGTGCTAAGGGACGGATATAGTAGAAAATATTTGTTTTTGACAGTGTATTATCTGTAGATAATATTTTCAATGAGAACATCTATCTACTAATTTCATACTCCATTGACTACGCCACTATTTCTAATGGTGAATCACCTTTCTATCGATGATTTCCAGAATATTAGCCTTTATTCGATACACTAAAACATATTGATTATAATTTAATGCAAATGCGTTAATGCAAATGTATTATAAAAACTTTTAACTTAGCGCTGATATAGTTTGGACATAAGCCTTTATATGACTTAATAAAAGTCACTTTTGTTTATTCTATAGAAGATATAACTATAATCGCTTTAACCGTCCACAAAATGTAAAAAACCGTAATAAATTTCGTTCAAATTTTGACAGTAAACAGTTTATCAAAAAATATCATATTCATAGCGCTCTCTGACGGCCTTTCGGTTAACTTATTGACTCGCCCTCTTATTAATTTCTTTCGTATTGCGGTTTTTAGTTAGAAAAGCAAATGTTTAAATAAAGAAATTTATTTCAAACATTTTGAGTTAAATTTTCTTTACTGTACATAAAATAAAACACATTCCTGTTAAAGTATTTACAGGCTTCGCTAAAGTTTCTGAACCTTCATCAAAATTCCTAGTTTGCGAAAATTTTATGTGTTTACATGTTGGCTTATGTTTAAGTACATAAAGTGAAGCACAACGAAGCAATGACGAATTTATTTACAACACTGGAAAAGCAGTAAACTATAATCAACACACAAGACCAACAATTTAGACATCAAATGCCAAAACAAATTAAACACTCACAGTCAAAAAATTTGGACCTTAATTTAGTTACAGTAAGTAAGCGTCACTTTAGGTAACAACTAAATTCCGCACATACACACATACAAACTCACACACCGAGAGAGAGCAAATAAAAGAATTAATACAACAAAGCGACCTACAAATTTGGCTATTTGTAAAAATCAACAAAAGCCTTAAACGCTCACATACGTGCATACACACGTATATGTATGTAACGCACACTCCATAGCAGCGCAATAAACATAAAAACAAAAGCAACAACAATTTCTGTTTTAGGCTTATTGAGGCAATGAAAAAATTTACTTTCATTTTTAACATTAAAGTTAACGGCTGTGAGGTTTAGTTTGCATTTCTTCGCCAATATTTTGCTGTCAATTCTAGGATATTTTTATTTGCAACATTTCTATTTTATATTTTTATTTTTACAATGTTACTTTTCTTTTTTAGTTGTTGTTTATTTTTTATCCATTTATGTTATTCTGTTAAATCTATTTCAATTATGTAAAAATTCCGGAAGCGTGAAACAGTGGCAGTATTTGTGAAGCACGCACTGCTCGTACATAAAAATGACATTACAGTCATTGTTTGTGTGTTTTTCTTTTTTTTTATTTTTAACATAAAAACGGCTTTGTCTGTGTAGTTGTTATTGTTGTTGTAAAGTGTAGTTGTTGGCGCACCTTATTTTCTGACTTAAAGTATTGAAAACTGTTGTTGTTGGTACTGTAATAGGTACATATACACAGCTTGTACAGTGGGAAGCTTTGAAAACGTTCACTCAGTCAACAGGTCTGTGTTTTCGTGTAATTGCACAAACGCAAACGCAAACGCAAAATTGCTTAGGCATGTTTAATTGATTGGAAAATTTTTATTGCTTTTAGGAAGAAATTTTATTACGGAAAATTGTTTTATAAAAGGAACAATTTCTCATTTTAAATTCTAATTTACATTTGTACGTGAAAATAGACAAATTGTCATAAAATTTTAATGTTAATAGAAATGAGTTTACTTAACATTATGTAAACATTTTAAATTTTTGATTTGTGTAATAAAGAGAGGAGTTAAATTCCTTAAAATGACATTGTTTTTCTTATTGGAATTTATAAAGATTTTACTGGTCTTATAATATACATACGTAATAAACTTATTTACTTATTGCTTGAATTTTACCTAATATAAATAATAAAAACTATATTTACACTTTACAATTAGTAAATCTCAATTAGTGATAATAGGAGAACTGTTTATTTAGTCATGCATCAATGGATAAATACGGATGCCATAAGATATACACTGTTGTATGGTATCACGATATGGTGGGCGCCTTAGACGAATCTTCGTAAAGCTGGTAGCACTGTGTCAGGGCTCACAGCTGCAGTAGTTCTCACAAATTGAGGTTGGGCGCTTGCTTTGGAGTACCAAGGTGGAAGTCATGTCTTACAGACATTTCTTTATTGATACCGACGGAATTACTAAGGAGATTCCAAGACGTACATCGGCACAATATACCGATACGTGTGTGAAGAACACCGTGATGTACAGTAGAAAATGACTTAATTTCAAATGACAGCATCATCTGCTCTTACACTTAAAACTTCTTCAGTCTTCCTTCCCACTTTTTGATCCTAAATAATATTAACTAAATCTCTTCCCATTCTTAATTTCGACAGAAAATTTGGTATCAAGTTCTCATCTAGAGACCCATATCCTATCAAGAAATCTTTCTGTAGAAGATGTTCTAACGATTTTCACAGTGGAGTTCTTAGGAAAGGTATTGAATAAATTTATTTATTATTGGCTTTTTGATCATTATAGTGTTTTTCGGGTGACACTTGTTAGTGAAGCGATTGCTAGTCTAAATGTAAATAATATGTGTATTAAAAATGTATACAAACTAACAAACATTTAAGTTGCTTTAAAGTCCTTAAGTGTAGTGTAATTTACATCTAGGACGGTTTTGATTGGTACATATCTCCGAATAATGTGTCAATGCAATTGAACGTAGCTCCAATACAGATTCCCGGTCATAGCGGTATTTTCGCAATTGCTAAGCAGAAGAGTGCTTTAGATAGTCACACCGAACATATAAAATCCTAGGCATATCGTTGAGGACATACAAACATTTATTAAGTTCTTTCTCTGCTGAACTCTTAATAAAAGATGCGAAAACTCGACTACATGCAAGCATTATGAGTTCTTTCTCTAAACTTCTCAAAAAAAGATGCAAAAAGTCAATTATATGCAAGCATCTATGTGCAATTCTACAATGGATTCCAAGAAATCTAAACTAACATGGTCAAGTTACAATCTATTAAAAAAGAAAATTATACTTGGCAAAACTAAGATAGAAGTAATGAAACTAGTGACAGTTTTGAGAGGCCACTGACCAATAGACACCAATATCGAAAAATAACTAAATATCCATTCCAATTAATGCATTGTAGAAGCTGCAATGAAGAAAAAAAATAATATAGAACTGAAAACATTCTTTGCAAATACCCACGTTTTTGTAAGATTGAAACGTTTTAATATAGAAACCTACGAACTAAAGCCTGGTGTACATTCGAAATGTATACCTTCATTCTGCTTTATTGAGAAAAGGTTAGATTTGAAACTAAGAATTTCTTTACCGGTTTCGTGGTACTAAAAAGTCGCTTATACGCCATTTGAATGGAAGAAGAAAATCTATCACTACTAAAACCAACTAACTAAATACTGTTTATCTAACGATTGTTTTTCCACAGTTTTGACAAATGCTGTCGATTATTCTTAGTAGTCCAATATATCGATATTATGTAATTACTGGTTAATATTTTTTGTATAATAAATTAACACAAAATGCAGAGTTTGATTTTTATAATTTTTATTTCTTTTATATTGTTTTATGTTTTTTTATTTAATTAAATAATTTTTTTTTCTTTAAATTTAAAAGCAATAACAATGTTCGAAATGAATAGGAAAGGGAAAATAATATTAAACATGATCACGCGAGTTCAACAGTTTTAAGAAAAAATCTAAAACCTTAAACGTTTAATAGCTCTGTAATGGTAGCCATCATCAGCCAAAATAGCAGACTCCTCTGGACCTTCAGCAACGACAACACCTTCTTCTAATGGTGGTAAGTATTCACCAACTGGTGCAGACTTTACCTCAGCAACATCTTCAACTGGTGGTAAATATTCTGGAGCAACAGGCTCAGCAGATTCTACAACAATGGATTCATCAGGTATTTCTTCAGCTGCCACTTTTTCAGGTGCTTCCTCAGCTGGTTCATCGGCAACAATATCTTTTGGTGCGGCTTCATCTTCTGTGGGAGGCAAGTATTCCACAACAGCTTCAGGTGCTGGGCTAAGTTCAGGTGCTTGTGCTGGTTGCTTATAGTGATAACCATCATCAGCGAGTATAGCTGTGTCTTGTGGTGCTTCTTCGGTAATGGGTTCACCATCATTAGTAGCGGCGGGTTCGTTATTATCAATATCGCGTACTTCAGCCAAAGGAACTTCACTTTCATCGGTACCTTGTAAAGGTGCAGCTTCAGTACTTGGATGCTCTTCATGTGGTGGCAAATATTCGTTAGCAACTGCTGGTGCAGGATCATCGTTATTGTGGTTATGTTCATGTTCAGGTTCGTGTTCATGCTCGTGTTCGTGTTCATGTTGATGATCGTGCAAATGTGCAGGTTCGCTGAGTTTGTCAGCACCAGCTGGTGGCAAGTACTCGTTGCTGGGTGGTAAATAGTGTTGCGCTAAGTGAGAAACATCACGACGGTTGCGATAACGGTATTTCAAACGACGTACGGTACGGTATTCGTAGCCATTTGGACCCAAAACAGATGAAGCAGGTGCTAAGGTAGTTGGTGCTTCGGTTATGGCTTCAGTGGTTACTTCCGTTTCGGGCAGTAGAAGCTTTTCTTGTGGCGGTAAATAACTGTACGCTGGTGCTTGTAATTCGGATACGTCGCGGCGTTGTCTTTGCGCGCTGGGTATGAAAGCAGCGGAAGCGGAGGCTACCAAAAAGCAGGCTAAAATAAAGGTTTTCTGTGGAAGAGTTAAAGAGTTTAAAAAATTAAAATTAATAGTCTGGGTTGGATGTATAGTATTTTGACTAACCATTTTTTCTTTGAACTCTTTGCTTACTGGAGCTAGTACAGTGCGTGTGTTGTAATTAAAACTGTAGTTGATTGTGTGATGATTTGTTAATGTTAACGCGCATTTTTATAGCAGAAATTTGAAGTTTAAATTTAGATAAACAAAAAACAAAAAAAAAATATATTAAAAAATAATTTAAATAAAATTCGCTATATTTTGTTAAATAATTTTTTTTTTTCAAAAAATATCACTACTCTACAATAGCCACAATTATAACTGCTTTTTGTTTTTTGCGTGCGTTGTTGTTATTGTAATAGTTATTGTTGCTATTGTATAATTTTTCTATCAAATCAACAAATATTGCTATTAACAATACATAGAGTAGAGTAGATCTCAGCACAACTACTCTAAGCCCGAAAGTATCATAAGTAATTTGAAGTAAAACATACAACCATTGTAGCTACGTACTTCTGTTTCTCCTTCTTCTTCTTCCTCTTCTTCTACTTACCTTCTCTATCCAAGCAGTACTGCTTTGGTGAAGTACTGCTTTTGCCATAGAAGTACCACTTAGGCCATGAAGTGCCGAAGTGCCGGCAGTTCAATATTATTTTGGCTTGAAGCAACCGTTTGCGCTTACGTATTTTGTACATAATGTGTTTAATTTATTTTTAAACATTTTGGCGTCTTCTCAATGAAATAATGAAATGATTCAATAGAATATCTCACCCGTGAAATTCGTGCATCTCAACACCTTGTTGCAAGGTAAAGTGTTCACTTGCGGCAATGTCAAGTGCTGACTTTTAAGAAGGTCAGACCAGAAGTTATCTGCTTAGATTTAATTTCTATGGGATTCTCTCTTTTGTCTTTAGATATTTTGATATTTGATATGTTAATTTATCTGTATCGATTTAATTTGATTTCATTTAAATCATCTCAATTGATCTGCTCATTGAGTTCAATTCATATCTCAATGATTTTGTACTTCTTCATTGAGCCAGAATTTCCTGTTTTCCTAAGCCAATTTTTAAAAATAAAAAAAATAATATTTACACATATGATTTTATTTGACTTATCATCGGTTTTCATTACTACTGATTTTTTTTTTTGGTAAATATTTAAATTTATTATTCAGTATTTGTACTTGGCTATTTTTAACACGTTTTTGTCTTATTTATTAAATATTTTTCATTCTGTACTCTTTGAAGAACTTTAATATTGGCTTCTAGTTTTCAAGACACAAGTAGATTTTCAACTGTTTAAGAATTTTTTTAATTTTTAAACTTAAATGTAAGAAGAATATTTTGTAATTAAGCTCTAAAAGTTCTGAAATATTAAAATAAGTTGTTAATATCAATATAATTAATAAAATTTTCGAGTGGGTTTATTGAATAAGATAAATGGCTAAGAAGATAAATTAACTATAATAATCACTTCTAAGTGTAGTACTATAATATAAGCAATTCAAAACATCAATAATAAGCGTACTGAATAGTAGTTTTGGAGTACTACTTAGACTAATTAAGCTTCTGTGTTGGGTTTAATAGAATATTCCAAATAAATTTAGTTCCAGCTTAAAGTTACCGAAACAGTTGATTTAGAAATAAGTATATATATATTAATAGTATCTTTCATACATCACTTTATTGTTTAGTTATTTGAAACTAAACAGAAGCCTGTGATCAGAAATTTGTTTTGGTGAAGGCTTTTCTACAATATCAATTTTTTCAAAAATTGTTCATATCATTTAGCAATCAAAAAACATTAAAAATATATAAATATATGTATATATAATAAAAATATATAAATATATATATATATGTATATAGTATATTTTATTATTTTTTTGTGACCAAAAATATATAATAATTTTTGAGCGGGTTAATTGGTCATTTAAATAAAATACTATAATTCATCATTTATATATTTAAATAATATTTTGATATTATTTAATATTATTTAAATTAATATTTAAATATAATTAATAAATAATAGTTTTTTCTTTAAATGACCAATTAACGGGCTCAAAAATTATTATATAAATAGTATATATATATCAATATAGTCCTTAATAAGAAGAAAAAAGGTTTTTAAGTTAAAGAGATCTGATTTTAGATTAATAACTAATTTCCTAGCTTGACCTGTTAACTTCCACAGTTCAAAGTTGTGACTAAAGAACACTGGATTTTGTAATATTAATCTGCACAGTTTAATCACTAAATATGCTTCTGTTAAACATTTTTTAAAAATGGGACTAAAGAACTTTGGAGACAAATCGAGTAACTTCATTGGACTTGCATTGAAATGAACAAGGCTTGGTATCTAAAATGAAAAGCCATTATTCGGATTTTAACCACATAAATTTGTCCTTCAGGAATAGTGCAATATATCTTATTTGTCGCTGTAGATTACGTCTTGTTTAATAATGAATAAAAATAATATAATATGTATAATAAATAACAGCGAAAAGGCTACAGGTGAGTTATGGTACTAAGCATTTTTATTGAAACTTTTCTGCAGTCTAATAAATCAATTATAATCAGTAATCACAAATATACGTATCTATATGTATGTTAATATGTGTATCTTAAAAGTAATAATTTTTTTGATATTCTTTTTAAGTGAGTAATTGAAAACATTAATTTTTTCAAACTCCGATATTTCAAAATTTGTTTAATAGTAAGTGGTTATTTATCAGATGGCATCAGGATTGGTCGTAAAATGTCTTGAGAAGCTGAAAATCATAAGCAAAAATAGTTAGAGAAATATGGATCCTGTAGTAATATTCCTCAACGAAATTATATACAAACTTGTCTAGCAATGGTCAGCCGGACTGCTTGTAGAGCCGGGCACATTATTTTGTTTAGAAGAATATAATCTGTTTTGATGCATTAAAAAAGAGGAGAAATTTACCTGTAATAATCTACCAGGGCCAACAAAATATTGTGTTAACGTTTTTCACTTAAAGTAGTTTACAGAAAGTAAAATAATTTAAGCATTATTACAGTATCTCCGACAATACATTTTGGGTTAAACTATTACTTTGATAAACTTAAAAGTAAACAAAAATTCAAACAAAGATTACGGATTTTTAGGAAGAGAATGGGGCTCCAAAACACTTGTTGGTAATATGTACGGCAGTGATGTATGAACATAAGAAATATACAAGAATTAAAACTTAGCATAAATTCTTTTTTGGATAACGGTGAAAACTATAGCTTGTTTTTTGTTATATATAATAACGATTTTTTGGAATCAATTTACACTATAATTCACACTTAACCAAAACTCTTAGTTAAATAATTTCAGCTTTGATACTACTGAATTTATATATACCAATTATAAGTCTTGTTCCCTTTGCTGCAAATGGAGCTTACATATATCAACTGAAGTCCTTGAGAATTAAAATTTCGGCATTTAAATAAATTTTTCTTACATACTCATTACAGATTATAATTGATATAACGATGAGCAAAGTAACACAACATAAGACAAACAAACTTCTTATTAAATGACTTCAATGTAATAACAATACAGTTTAAAGTTCTATTAAAATCAATTTATTGATTCATTTGATGCAGTTGAACTTATACACACCACATGAAATAAAGCACATGAGAATTAAAACTTTTTTGTATAAACACCACACAATTTTTAATTTGGTGAGAATTATAATTTCATTTTATATGATAGAATTGTATTAATTACCCCATTGACTCGTGCGTGGAAAGATTTTTATACTTAAACATAATTAAATCAAAAATTGAAGTTATAGAAATTTCGTAAATTTGTAATTAGACTTGTAAATGAACTTTTAAAAGAGGATGGAATAACCGTTTACAACTATATCTAAACTTAATAATGGTTTGTTACAATTTAACTCCTGTTATCATAGTCCTGGGGGTACTTTACATTATAATATATAATATTAATATAATTAATTAATTAATTATATGTATAATCTTAATATATATTTCTTATCTACATTTTAATGAAAATATTCGTGTTTTGAAATCCAGACTAGAAAAATTGAATACATCTGACTATTTTATTTGATTTGACATTACTTTTTTTATTATTATTGTATTTATTAATTGCAAAATATGTATGTTAAAGTACATTTTTAGATTTAATAATAGTTCAAATACAATTTATCAAATTTTATTTAAGCATTAAAATAAAACTGCAGTAGATTATTGAAGCCAAGTATATATTCTAGAATGGTAATTTTTTAATCTCATGAGAAATGCAATTTGATTGATACATAAAAGTAGGTTTAAATTTCATTAATACTTTGTTACGGGAGAGTGCATTACAAACAACTTTGTATATATAACACTACTTACATATAAAACAAAATTGTAATGTTTTAGAAGAATAATTAACCAAATTAGTTTCTACAAATTTGAGTATAATTTCGGAATCATTATTAATTAATATTTATATGTATATATACATAGAAAAACATAGCCTTCACTTTTAGACATAAATTTGAACAAGGACTTGAAAATTAAAGTTTTAGTCAGAATCAAATCAAATAATTTAATCAAATCATTTAAATTTGTACCAGAGACTCGAAACAAACTTATTTTTAGACGGATTCGAATAGCAAAGAAAAGACAAGGACAAAAACTTATTTCATTCATTGAAATTTTCCCGACCACATACAACACTGTTTCGAGTATTGTCAAGTACTCATCATCAGTGATCTTAGAAATATTCGAATATCTTAATAAGTTAATAGTTCGTATATAATTTGTTTGGACTGCAAGTGCCAGGCTTAGTACTCGTGCCTGTCAAATTAGAATTAAACAAATTTATGTCTTTGTCCTTTTCTTGCTATTCGAATCCGTCTAACTTGTAGTAAATAGACATTAACATTAAACTTTTTTTTTGAAAAAATTAGTTACATAAAATAACAATAATAAGTAATGAGTTAATCAAAAATAAATAATTCATGAAGTGCTTGCATTAATTATAATACTTTTCTTAAAATTAATTAAGCTGCAATACAACTATATCCACACAATTCCCATAATTAAACCACACATAATAAATAAATTTAATTAATTATTCGTTTAAATTAAATTAAACATAAAATTTTATTTCTGCATACTTTATTAAGTTTAAA